ACTAAATCTTTTACGAATTTCTAAATGAACTGCTCGCGAGCATAAAAGTGACTTCTTTTATTGGAGGCAACTCAACCCTTCGTTATCCTCTGCTTTATATCCATCCCTACCACTCCTTCCGTCCTGACTTATTTGACTTCCTGGATACTTAAAATCAGCCACTTCTTCTAATTTTCGTCTCCTATCTTTATATTCGCTCTTTCCATTTTTCTTCCTTTGCACACCAGTATTTTTGTTTTACTTTTATTTATTTTCATACAATACTGTTTTGTCAATGCCGCTTCCATTTTATTTGAAGCTATCTCTAACTCCTCCTTGCTAGATCCTACTACTGCTAGATCATCTACAAATCTAAGCATAGTAACCATTTGCCCCTGCATATCTACAGATCTATCTATAAAGTATGTTATAAAAATATGTGCACCTGCTATTTTTGCGCTGTATTTGTTAGAAACAGATTGTGTTTGTTTCTGAACGATGTTATTTGAAACTTATGCTTTTAAAAAATCTATTTAAATAAGTTCTTCTTTTCGCATTTTTTGCCATTGAAATGGTTGCAACTATTGTGTTAAAAGGTCACTACAAGTACGTAAAAACATAGTCGATCTCAAATGTTGCATTTCTTATATAGTAAAATAATAATGAGGAAATTTGAAACTTAGTTTGGATACCCTAAATTCAATGTTGTCTGCATTAGTGTAGTGGGCGTTTATTGATTTAGTTACCAAGAAGTCTTCAACCCACAAGGAAGTAAGTAAATTTCTAGGCGACAATTCTGAGTCATGTGCAAAACTTTAAGGTAAAATTAGATTTCCTGTGCAAAAATAAAAACACTACTAAAGTCATTGACATTATTCATCATATAAAATCTCCCAAACTTGTAGATTTTCCGCTTTACTAAAAGTATTTACTCGAATGAGTTAAAAAATATTTTTACTTTTGATATGAAAATAACATTACCTCATTTTTCAAACTTCTAAAAATTGTTTTGTTTTTATTTTACAGAACAATTATTGCACAATACGAATGTACTACACGACTACACATGTAATAGATGCCCCCCACATATTTATGACTGAAGTCTATTTCATAGTATAAAAAGAAAACTTGTAATGTTTGATCGAATTGTATTTTGGAAGTAAAAACGTTTTACAATTGTTTTACTGACTTTGCGAATGTGGATGAGTCAGTTCTAAATTTAATGATCGAATAAACAAAACAGTAAAAAGCTTTATAATAGTTGCTCCTGTTCCGATTTCTGCTTAGCGTTTTTGCTTATTTAGTAGGTATTCGATATTCATACGCGTAAGCCCATAAAATTTCAATAACCTTGGCTTTCTTTATAGATTACGTATCGCAAATTTATATGCCCTTTGGTAATTTCTGCAGAACAAATTTTATTACGTATTACAAAATGCTAAACAATGCATTTATTATTTGCTAAACATTACTTATGTGTGCATCCCTGTCTGACTCCCTTCCTAATATTTACTTCTCTAGGTTGCAACCCTAGCTCTATAACTGCCTGTTGTTCTTTATACAAACTATCACTCTTCTATCTTTGTAACTCATCCCTACATTTTTAAGTATATTTAACATCTTGTCCCATTTAACATTGTCAAAAGCTTTTTCTAAATCTACTAATCCTATGTATGTACTCTTTCTTTTCTCTATAGTTTTCTTTATTGTTACATGTAAAGCTAGAATGGCCTCCCGCGTTCCTCTATTTCTTCTAAACCCAAATTGATCTTCTCCTAATAGTTCTTCCGCCCTTTTTTCCATCCTACTCTGTACAATTTAAGTTAAGATTTTTGACGCACGGGAAGTTAAGCTAATTGTTCTAAATGTCTCGCACCTATCCGCGCCTGTCTTTTTAGGTATGGTTACCACCACGTTCCGTTTATAATCCTCTGTGTAACTTTCCTTGTCTCGTAAATGTGACCAACTAGCTTAAACATACGATCTCTAACCTCTTGTCCTGCATGTTTTAGAATTTCCCCCTGTATCCATCTACACCTGGCGCCTTATTATTCTTTAAGTTTTTTAATGCTACATCGAACTCTTCTCTCATTATGGGATAACCAAGCTCATCTATCTCCACACTACCTTCCTTCTCTAATATATCTCCTAACTCAGGGCCTGTGTATAGCCTCGTTTCTTATATTATTACTACTGTACCCTATATCTCTAAAATTCCTTTTAATTGTAGTATACGCCTCATCTACTTCTTTACACATCTTATCAATCCATTGTTCCTTAGCTGCCCTACACTTCCTAATTATTTCCCACTTTATAGCCTTATAACTAAATATAAATACTTGAGCGAATTATATTATACTAAAATTCTTATTAAAAATGTCTTTAAAAGTAAGTCTTTCATACTCAATGACGCGAGTATCTAGTATTTATATATGTATTTCTTCAAATTTCTGCTCCATGGACATAAACTGAAGGAATTTTTGTTTCCGATATACAAAACACGTCAAAAAGTAAGTAAATAAATGAATAGGTAAATATTGTCATCAAATAAAATAAAATAGCGTAATAATTGAATATGCGAATATAAATTAACAGCTGACCTTGGAATACCTACTGCAAATGCAAAAAGTGTTGTTTTCAGTCTCGCAAGTACTTTTATTTCTATTTTTTTCTGACCATAAATTCACGATCAGTACTTTTAACATCGCTTAATTCAATCAGATAAGTTTAAGCCTTGTCACTTAATGATGAGAGCAGACTTGCAACTCATTTTTCAACACACACACAGCACTGACTACTTGTTATTTTATTTTTAGTTTGGTATGTTTGGTATTCAGGATTCGGTTTGTTGAAAAAATTCAACGCTTAAAATTTTTTTATATGTAATTATAAAACTGCTTGTTTGCCAGAATTTTGGAAACAGTTCGGAGAGTGATTAAGTATGTATAAGGAAAAATAGAGAGGGTACAAGATAAGGATATGGAGAGAGGGATATGCTGCTAAGTTGTGAACAAGTATATGAACTGAAAAAAATCGAAAAAATGTCAAAAAACACATTAACATTTTTCGATACTTTTAAAATAAGGTTTGTTTGCAGGACCTTTAATGATACTAGTTAGAGGTATCTAATTTCCAAACAAATAGGCATTGATTTTACTAATAAAATCGAAAATATCTACTAATCTAGGTTGATTAATCAATATAACTGGACGAATGGGTAGATTAAGCGCAGGATTTTGAGCGTTTTCATAATATTTTTTAAAATGTATATACTTATAACACGTTTACGAAAAACATTTTTATCAATTATAATTATTATCAAAGTGTACATCTATTAAATAATTAGAAAATGTTGTTACAGTTACCGACTTATAATTCAATTTAATTGCAGTGTTGAAGAATAGGCGGTAATAAATCCTTGATAAGTGTAGAAACGATTTACTATACACATAAAATCATTATAATGTGAATAATTGCACCTATTTAACATTGCTCTATATTTATTTGGTATCAATCACACAATAAGCACTAAAGAGGACGAGGACGAGAAGTCCGTGCAGCTAGTAAATGCCCACGCGCTAGGCCCCAGTAGGTAATTTCACTACGTATTAAATTCCTTAAAGCATTCATTGTAAACCATAAATTAATTACTGATGCGGGCGCAAGAAAATTACTTATAAAAACTAAGAAAGAAAGAAAACAAACAAGCTTTATGAAAATTTTATTGCCTCGACAATATTGTTTCTGTCTTAGCGACCATTATCAAGAGTATACACAAAATTTACTAATCTCAAGTAATATTTTGTATACTCTTGGTAATGGTTGTTAGGAACAAAACAATGTTGTCGGGGTAATAAAAATTTAGTGGAAATTTATTTTTTTTATTTCTTTCTTTCTCAGTTTTAAAATGTTTCACAAAAAGTGAACTATGCAAAGTTTGAGTGTTATGAAAACTTATAAAACGACGATAACTAATGATTTCTGTAATTGTTCTTCAAATAACTGAAAATCAAAATTCTGTTTTCGCACCTAATTAATAAAACCATAACTGAAGTTCAACACATATTATACCTGAGTGTACAAAACGGTTGACTTACCTATTTCAAAAAGAAAGATCATAATGTACTTTTTGGAATCCTTTCAGTTCTGATCTTCCATCAAGGATAAAAACGATTTCAATGTCTCTAAATTTTAAACAAAATACTGCAAGCCAAATTATACCTATCCAGTATTTTTCGATAGCATCAAATTTCATACGTACAAGAAAATATTTGTAGGCTACAAATGCTTACTGTTCAAATATTATAACATTAGAAAACAATTACGTTTTCGTTTTTGAAAAACTCAAACCCATATATGTAAAAAAAATCAATAATATCGAACACCGTCCAAGCGCTGTAAATACAATATCTCTTTCCAAGACTCCACTAAAAGCAGAAATATGCTACAGATGGCGTTTACCATGCTGTTTGTGGTAATTAACTATCTTAAGGCAGCAGGAATGACCATCAGGAACTTTTTGCACAGAGGCATTAGTTAGTAACTTTATAGTACTACATAAAACAAATCAATAATATCGGTTGTTGTACCATCACATCCAAGCGCTTTAATTAAAATATCATTTTTCGAAAATGACAATCTAAAAGTTGCCATAGAATTAAAGCTAATGGCTCTAAACTAAAGTATTAAATAAATAGTTTACTTTTTTCTTATATTTCAATTCAAAATTTTTCATTTAATTAAAAATAATTATCATTAAAATCCTGTTCAAGTATACTGTATTAATGAGTATATAGAAATCTGGATTTACGCGTGATCTCCATTAAAAATTAAATTTTAGACAATAGTAACTAGGAGTGGGGAAATCTTTATCAAAGAATCAGTACCAGAATATTTAAGAGGGTCGTAACATATCGACTTCTCGTTGTCGTTTTGTGTAGATGCTTGTCTACTGATAGCGAGTTAGAAACTTTAATTACTGTTGTAATTATCTGGCGTTCGACAGTTTCATTGAAGCTTACCTTCCGAATTGTAATCTTCTTCCGAATCAGGAGCATCTAATGGACTGTCGGCCCTTGTTATTGGATCATCAGCTAACGTTACGGGCACTGCAGGAGTTGGAGCAGGTGTTGTTGTCAGACGACCTTCGGGCCCAGGAGAAAAATGTAGCTCAACTGCCCCATCCGCAGGAAAACGGGCATCTGTAAAAGAAGAAAACAAAAACTTTTTGAATAAGCATCAACAAAACGTAGTTTCAAACAAAATAACCAGCAATAGGATTAAACTTTTTAAAACAGTGATATTTTGTCATATTTCTAACAGTTTCTGTCTCCCTGAAATCTATAAATTTAATAGCAATTTGGCAATTGGTTTACGTAGGTCACAGGTACATTTACATACGATATAAAATTAAAAGTATCGACATTCGAGAGGTTCATCGTAAAAAGAGTGCGGGTCGATCGGCCTTACGACTCATGTGTGCATGACAAAACGCATGCCTTACTGCTACATGAATATTTGCAGTATGGTTACTACATTTTACAGTAACCAGACCTTCAACCGCTAAATTATTTTAATTATTTATTGTTAANTAAAGTTTAAGTTTGAAAGCTCACAGCTTATTAAGCGTTATTCTTTTTTTCCTCACCGTTTCAGGTTGGTCGGTTAACATTCACTTCTAAATTGGGAGTTAAAACGAACACCACACTAACATATAATTAAATCGTTTTCGAAAAAAAAAAAAAGACGGTTGGAGCACAAGCGAGAATGTCCGTCAGTCAGTCCGTCCCGTTCGTACGTTCTTCAAACTTAATATTTCCAAGACTGAAATAGGCGCGCCCGCTGCCCAGAAATAAAACGCTCCTTGGCCGCTGCGTATAGTTTACCACCGCAGACGTATAGCGTTTCGAAAAGCAAAATTATTTTTAGTTGGTTAGTTGAGTCGACTATAAGGTACTTGATTACCAATGAAAAAATAACGATATAAAACTTGCATAAACGAACGCATATCAAACGCGTTTTCTTAAGGCTGACTTTCCAACGTCATCAAAATTTGACTCGAAGTGGGTAATTTCAAAGTATTATAGTTGAAAATAAAAATAATAACATCTTTTGATTTAATGCGGAAAATATTGTTGTGAATTATTTATTATTCAAAACTGTTTCTTTTTGGCAATCATCATACTATCAAAATAAAACTGGTTCATCATTGGTTCGGCAAAATCTTATTAAATCATTTATCACCATTTATTAAAATATTGAAAACCTCGCGTCAACCTTTTTGGGGTGTCCCATTCTAAACGGGTAAATCTCACATGAGTAGGGATGAGGAATCTCACCACTTTTACCAAATCTAAACGTCAAGGTAAACGAATTTCCAGAATATTTTGTATTTTCAAAGATAAAATTTCGATTCGTTTGCTACCCCTTTATTATACAACAATAAAAATTGTTTTGAAGGCAGAGGACAAATCCAATTCAACTACATACAAAAGTATGGACGAACATTTTTATTTAACTGAATTGAAAACGTATCCTTGACGATTACGTTGCCTAATATTTAATTAAGTTAAACTGTATATCAATCAAATATTTGTCACTATAATTGTATGACAAACAATTTGAACAGCTGGCTAAATATTTATATTTTAAGCTCAATTCGTTCCTTAAATTAATTGAGACAAAACGTTAGCCATTATATTTTGACCACCGCGATGTAGCCATTTGGCAAGGAGATCCACAACACAACAAATTTTATATCATTTATTCTGTTATTCGGAACAAATGAGCAAATGCTTTTGATCATACTGAAATTGAAATTGCCTAAACCGTGTAACTGTGCTATTAAAACAAACTTGTAAAAAATATAGTTTACGTACCTATCATGTCGGGTACACCTTGAAGCAAAAACAGAGATTAAAGGATTTAATAAATCTCACTTTTGTGTTTTATTGGTTGCCACAACAGAATTATTGCTTAAGTCAAGGGTTTAAAGCGAATATCTGATGCCTTTACTTCCTTTCATTTATCCTTGTAGGTAAATGTGAAGTTGGCAACTTCTACACAGGTAAAAGTTTAAAATTAGCCTTAATTTTCCTGTCTGTATGACTGCCAAATCCTCAAAAAATACTGCTTAAATGTTTATTGATGACTAATTTCCAACAATACAGGGTGGAATTAGTTTTCAGTTTTTTTATAGGCGAGTAAAAGTTAATTTAATATGACACTTTTACAACTTCCAAATATTAAACATTAAAGTTAGAAATAATGAAAAATGTGACACCATAATATGGTATGTAATATGTAAAAGTGCACATCAGTAAAAATATAACTAACCATTAAAAAAAATACGTATTACAATTTATGAGAAACAATGTAACATTAAGGGTTATTGGAGCGCTTCCACAACTATGGAGTCGTCAAAAATTTTATACATTTAGTAACATTTTTGCACCGTATTCTACGCATGAAAACTCTGTTATTAAATACTGCATTACAGTATAGAGAAAAATTTATACGGTGTTCAGAATTCCATTCTATTGGAAGTGTGTCGGAAATTTCGCACTGTGTTATACGGTAACAATGTTCAACAATGCCGCGTTATAAATTGATAACACAAATGCTGTCCTATGTTTTCACTCTGTTAACTGTTTCAATGTTTGACATTGTAAAATATCATACTTAATTATGCACCGTGTTTTAACAACTGCATTGCATAAGGCGGTGTTATAGTTAAGAGATTCTTAACCTTCTAAGCTTTTCTTTTTTGCCGCGCCCACCGTCCATGTTTCGCACTCGTTCAGCGCCGCGCTCCAAACATACACATTTAACTAAATCTTTTACGAATTTCTAAATGAACTGCTCGCGAGCATAAAAGTGACTTCTTTTATTGGAGGCAACTCAACCCTTCGTTATCCTCTGCTTTATATCCATCCCTACCACTCCTTCCGTCCTGACTTATTTGACTTCCTGGATACTTAAAATCAGCCACTTCTTCTAATTTTCGTCTCCTATCTTTATATTCGCTCTTTCCATTTTTCTTCCTTTGCACACCAGTATTTTTGTTTTACTTTTATTTATTTTCATACAATACTGTTTTGTCAATGCCGCTTCCATTTTATTTGAAGCTATCTCTAACTCCTCCTTGCTAGATCCTACTACTGCTAGATCATCTACAAATCTAAGCATAGTAACCATTTGCCCCTGCATATCTACAGATCTATCTATAAAGTATGTTATAAAAATATGTGCACCTGCTATTTTTGCGCTGTATTTGTTAGAAACAGATTGTGTTTGTTTCTGAACGATGTTATTTGAAACTTATGCTTTTAAAAAATCTATTTAAATAAGTTCTTCTTTTCGCATTTTTTGCCATTGAAATGGTTGCAACTATTGTGTTAAAAGGTCACTACAAGTACGTAAAAACATAGTCGATCTCAAATGTTGCATTTCTTATATAGTAAAATAATAATGAGGAAATTTGAAACTTAGTTTGGATACCCTAAATTCAATGTTGTCTGCATTAGTGTAGTGGGCGTTTATTGATTTAGTTACCAAGAAGTCTTCAACCCACAAGGAAGTAAGTAAATTTCTAGGCGACAATTCTGAGTCATGTGCAAAACTTTAAGGTAAAATTAGATTTCCTGTGCAAAAATAAAAACACTACTAAAGTCATTGACATTATTCATCATATAAAATCTCCCAAACTTGTAGATTTTCCGCTTTACTAAAAGTATTTACTCGAATGAGTTAAAAAATATTTTTACTTTTGATATGAAAATAACATTACCTCATTTTTCAAACTTCTAAAAATTGTTTTGTTTTTATTTTACAGAACAATTATTGCACAATACGAATGTACTACACGACTACACATGTAATAGATGCCCCCCACATATTTATGACTGAAGTCTATTTCATAGTATAAAAAGAAAACTTGTAATGTTTGATCGAATTGTATTTTGGAAGTAAAAACGTTTTACAATTGTTTTACTGACTTTGCGAATGTGGATGAGTCAGTTCTAAATTTAATGATCGAATAAACAAAACAGTAAAAAGCTTTATAATAGTTGCTCCTGTTCCGATTTCTGCTTAGCGTTTTTGCTTATTTAGTAGGTATTCGATATTCATACGCGTAAGCCCATAAAATTTCAATAACCTTGGCTTTCTTTATAGATTACGTATCGCAAATTTATATGCCCTTTGGTAATTTCTGCAGAACAAATTTTATTACGTATTACAAAATGCTAAACAATGCATTTATTATTTGCTAAACATTACTTATGTGTGCATCCCTGTCTGACTCCCTTCCTAATATTTACTTCTCTAGGTTGCAACCCTAGCTCTATAACTGCCTGTTGTTCTTTATACAAACTATCACTCTTCTATCTTTGTAACTCATCCCTACATTTTTAAGTATATTTAACATCTTGTCCCATTTAACATTGTCAAAAGCTTTTTCTAAATCTACTAATCCTATGTATGTACTCTTTCTTTTCTCTATAGTTTTCTTTATTGTTACATGTAAAGCTAGAATGGCCTCCCGCGTTCCTCTATTTCTTCTAAACCCAAATTGATCTTCTCCTAATAGTTCTTCCGCCCTTTTTTCCATCCTACTCTGTACAATTTAAGTTAAGATTTTTGACGCACGGGAAGTTAAGCTAATTGTTCTAAATGTCTCGCACCTATCCGCGCCTGTCTTTTTAGGTATGGTTACCACCACGTTCCGTTTATAATCCTCTGTGTAACTTTCCTTGTCTCGTAAATGTGACCAACTAGCTTAAACATACGATCTCTAACCTCTTGTCCTGCATGTTTTAGAATTTCCCCCTGTATCCATCTACACCTGGCGCCTTATTATTCTTTAAGTTTTTTAATGCTACATCGAACTCTTCTCTCATTATGGGATAACCAAGCTCATCTATCTCCACACTACCTTCCTTCTCTAATATATCTCCTAACTCAGGGCCTGTGTATAGCCTCGTTTCTTATATTATTACTACTGTACCCTATATCTCTAAAATTCCTTTTAATTGTAGTATACGCCTCATCTACTTCTTTACACATCTTATCAATCCATTGTTCCTTAGCTGCCCTACACTTCCTAATTATTTCCCACTTTATAGCCTTATAACTAAATATAAATACTTGAGCGAATTATATTATACTAAAATTCTTATTAAAAATGTCTTTAAAAGTAAGTCTTTCATACTCAATGACGCGAGTATCTAGTATTTATATATGTATTTCTTCAAATTTCTGCTCCATGGACATAAACTGAAGGAATTTTTGTTTCCGATATACAAAACACGTCAAAAAGTAAGTAAATAAATGAATAGGTAAATATTGTCATCAAATAAAATAAAATAGCGTAATAATTGAATATGCGAATATAAATTAACAGCTGACCTTGGAATACCTACTGCAAATGCAAAAAGTGTTGTTTTCAGTCTCGCAAGTACTTTTATTTCTATTTTTTTCTGACCATAAATTCACGATCAGTACTTTTAACATCGCTTAATTCAATCAGATAAGTTTAAGCCTTGTCACTTAATGATGAGAGCAGACTTGCAACTCATTTTTCAACACACACACAGCACTGACTACTTGTTATTTTATTTTTAGTTTGGTATGTTTGGTATTCAGGATTCGGTTTGTTGAAAAAATTCAACGCTTAAAATTTTTTTATATGTAATTATAAAACTGCTTGTTTGCCAGAATTTTGGAAACAGTTCGGAGAGTGATTAAGTATGTATAAGGAAAAATAGAGAGGGTACAAGATAAGGATATGGAGAGAGGGATATGCTGCTAAGTTGTGAACAAGTATATGAACTGAAAAAAATCGAAAAAATGTCAAAAAACACATTAACATTTTTCGATACTTTTAAAATAAGGTTTGTTTGCAGGACCTTTAATGATACTAGTTAGAGGTATCTAATTTCCAAACAAATAGGCATTGATTTTACTAATAAAATCGAAAATATCTACTAATCTAGGTTGATTAATCAATATAACTGGACGAATGGGTAGATTAAGCGCAGGATTTTGAGCGTTTTCATAATATTTTTTAAAATGTATATACTTATAACACGTTTACGAAAAACATTTTTATCAATTATAATTATTATCAAAGTGTACATCTATTAAATAATTAGAAAATGTTGTTACAGTTACCGACTTATAATTCAATTTAATTGCAGTGTTGAAGAATAGGCGGTAATAAATCCTTGATAAGTGTAGAAACGATTTACTATACACATAAAATCATTATAATGTGAATAATTGCACCTATTTAACATTGCTCTATATTTATTTGGTATCAATCACACAATAAGCACTAAAGAGGACGAGGACGAGAAGTCCGTGCAGCTAGTAAATGCCCACGCGCTAGGCCCCAGTAGGTAATTTCACTACGTATTAAATTCCTTAAAGCATTCATTGTAAACCATAAATTAATTACTGATGCGGGCGCAAGAAAATTACTTATAAAAACTAAGAAAGAAAGAAAACAAACAAGCTTTATGAAAATTTTATTGCCTCGACAATATTGTTTCTGTCTTAGCGACCATTATCAAGAGTATACACAAAATTTACTAATCTCAAGTAATATTTTGTATACTCTTGGTAATGGTTGTTAGGAACAAAACAATGTTGTCGGGGTAATAAAAATTTAGTGGAAATTTATTTTTTTTATTTCTTTCTTTCTCAGTTTTAAAATGTTTCACAAAAAGTGAACTATGCAAAGTTTGAGTGTTATGAAAACTTATAAAACGACGATAACTAATGATTTCTGTAATTGTTCTTCAAATAACTGAAAATCAAAATTCTGTTTTCGCACCTAATTAATAAAACCATAACTGAAGTTCAACACATATTATACCTGAGTGTACAAAACGGTTGACTTACCTATTTCAAAAAGAAAGATCATAATGTACTTTTTGGAATCCTTTCAGTTCTGATCTTCCATCAAGGATAAAAACGATTTCAATGTCTCTAAATTTTAAACAAAATACTGCAAGCCAAATTATACCTATCCAGTATTTTTCGATAGCATCAAATTTCATACGTACAAGAAAATATTTGTAGGCTACAAATGCTTACTGTTCAAATATTATAACATTAGAAAACAATTACGTTTTCGTTTTTGAAAAACTCAAACCCATATATGTAAAAAAAATCAATAATATCGAACACCGTCCAAGCGCTGTAAATACAATATCTCTTTCCAAGACTCCACTAAAAGCAGAAATATGCTACAGATGGCGTTTACCATGCTGTTTGTGGTAATTAACTATCTTAAGGCAGCAGGAATGACCATCAGGAACTTTTTGCACAGAGGCATTAGTTAGTAACTTTATAGTACTACATAAAACAAATCAATAATATCGGTTGTTGTACCATCACATCCAAGCGCTTTAATTAAAATATCATTTTTCGAAAATGACAATCTAAAAGTTGCCATAGAATTAAAGCTAATGGCTCTAAACTAAAGTATTAAATAAATAGTTTACTTTTTTCTTATATTTCAATTCAAAATTTTTCATTTAATTAAAAATAATTATCATTAAAATCCTGTTCAAGTATACTGTATTAATGAGTATATAGAAATCTGGATTTACGCGTGATCTCCATTAAAAATTAAATTTTAGACAATAGTAACTAGGAGTGGGGAAATCTTTATCAAAGAATCAGTACCAGAATATTTAAGAGGGTCGTAACATATCGACTTCTCGTTGTCGTTTTGTGTAGATGCTTGTCTACTGATAGCGAGTTAGAAACTTTAATTACTGTTGTAATTATCTGGCGTTCGACAGTTTCATTGAAGCTTACCTTCCGAATTGTAATCTTCTTCCGAATCAGGAGCATCTAATGGACTGTCGGCCCTTGTTATTGGATCATCAGCTAACGTTACGGGCACTGCAGGAGTTGGAGCAGGTGTTGTTGTCAGACGACCTTCGGGCCCAGGAGAAAAATGTAGCTCAACTGCCCCATCCGCAGGAAAACGGGCATCTGTAAAAGAAGAAAACAAAAACTTTTTGAATAAGCATCAACAAAACGTAGTTTCAAACAAAATAACCAGCAATAGGATTAAACTTTTTAAAACAGTGATATTTTGTCATATTTCTAACAGTTTCTGTCTCCCTGAAATCTATAAATTTAATAGCAATTTGGCAATTGGTTTACGTAGGTCACAGGTACATTTACATACGATATAAAATTAAAAGTATCGACATTCGAGAGGTTCATCGTAAAAAGAGTGCGGGTCGATCGGCCTTACGACTCATGTGTGCATGACAAAACGCATGCCTTACTGCTACATGAATATTTGCAGTATGGTTACTACATTTTACAGTAACCAGACCTTCAACCGCTAAATTATTTTAATTATTTATTGTTAATAATTGAAAAAGAAAGAAATAAAAGTCTTACTGTATTTTCAACTCCTTTTGTAGGTATATATTTATATTATTTCTAAATGTGGATTTTTCCTTGCTGTTGATGGAAGTCAAACTCACAGCGGTTTTTATTAACTAGGGTTTTTCTAATTACGAATTGTTACTTTATATTGAACGAAACTTTTTCAATGTTACAAGCGATATAAAAAAGGATTATGTTGACAAACCTATTTTTCGAAGAAAAAGTCGAAGTAACGATTGTAATCCACCAATAGCAACAAGCAGACTAACAATCATAATCAAACATTAATCAAATATCACCCAAAAAAATAATGACGGATACATTTTAGAGACTACTCGTTAAAGCAAGTACCTAACAGTGTTTTGATTTTGTTATAAAATTATCTGCACTATCTTGTTTATCTACGAAATGATAAAAAAAGTAATCGAAAAATGATGTTACAATATTTATTACCTGCGCATTTAATTTATTCATCTTTCAATATTCATAAAAAAAATTCTAAAGGTACTTTTTGCTGGAGAGGCCGTCAATTTTGTGACATATTTTGTCACTAATGTGCTGAACGTATTTGTCTTATTATTACATAAATGTTTGCTAATTGAAAAGTAAAAGCCATTATTTACTTAAGTAATGCTACGTAACCAACTTTTCTAAACAATTCAACGACTATACTGAATCGAATTGCTTTTATCTTAATGTTTCCCCTTTCGTTTGATTTATTATCTTTACAATAATTCGATTTTAAAACGTTTTTGCTAACCAGGTCAGACAGAAAATAAAACCAGAAGCTATAGCTAATTACGTTAATGGAATAGATACTTTACAATGACATAGCTAAATTTACAAAGTAGGTTGACTGATTAAAACTAGTTATTGTAAAGATAGAGAAGCAGTTTTGCTTTCCGATTTTAAAAGCATTAAGTTCACATTCGACCTTAATGGTACTTTTTTGACCCATTTTCACACGAAAAAGATATTGACGTCTGTCTTTACACGTTTAAAAAACTATAATTCGATTTTTCAACGTTTGTAAAGCGTCTCTAAAAATTATTGTTATCTAAATTATTATATTATTTGTGTTTTTGATAAAAATGTCTAGTTTCGTGTTACTAATTTTCTTGCAATGAAGAATTTTATATTTCCTTTTTACATAAATAGGATGCACATTATGAACAGTTCCAATTGGAAGAAAGTTTATTGCACACTTTAATGATTAATAATGGTGTATTATCTCTTATTAATGGGGTACCTTCTAGACTAACAATCTTTCCCGTTAGGGCTAGAAATAATCGTTTATGAGGGGAAACAGTTATTAAACCAAAGAGTACATATTAACTTAAGACTTTTAAAATTTTTTTTTGTATTTTAACTGAGGGATGAGCAACAAAAAATTAAATATGAAAAAATATTCTGTCATATAAAATATGGAAGAAAGATCGACTCGAAGTAGTTGTGCGAGAGATAGACGCAGAAATGTAACAACGATTTAGTGCTTCTTGAGCCCCTATAGTAATATAGTAGAAATATTAGTTCGCCCGATTGAGAGAAACGCAATAATTCGGGGAGTTACTAAATTCCTTAAAACGTATCGTCTGCTTAAAAGAGTGGATGTCAATTGTAGCCTGTGATGTTCGCGTTAGGCTAAACGCCAGTCCGCTTAAAAGTGAATAGTAAGGTATCTTTTATTCGTTCTTTAAGACATGTCCGCTGATGTGAGGTGTCCGTCTATAAGGGATGTTTGTCAACAGTGCATTACTAATTAAAAATGAAATGAAAGATGTAATGCTAATAAATGGACAACACTTTCATGTTTTCTATATTTACTACCTACAATGGAAATAATGCGTTTATAAGAAAAAGCTTTCGATCATCATCATCATTTTTGGATCGCCAACCAAAACACTGCTTGGACACACACACCCGCTCCACTCCTCGTTTCCTGAAATTAGAACTATCCTTTCCTTTCTTTAATTTTATTGTTTTCTTTCCATAACAGAAAAATTCGCTTAAAATGCATTTTCTTAATTTAATAACGATATAAACATTTATGGCTTGAAAACTAAACTGAATGTATTTTAATGATTTAATCATGTATGTTTTTTAGGATTTTGGTGAAGCATTGTTATAATAGAAACTATTGTGTGTGCTGTATTTAAGGTGTATGAACATTAATCGAAAAGAGTGAGACGTCAGAACGTATTTTGCTGGCGTACGAGTAGTAAAGAGTAATGAAAGATGTAAATACCCGTGCATGCGTTGTCTAGCTCCTGTCTTGTAAAACTCAGCGTGTAGTCAGCGACAGCACACGTATGGAATTGACAAGCAAAAATCGTTTCTCGTCCATTAATTCCTCGATGATAACATTTAACCAGAATATCACCTCTCAGTTGTAAGCCATGTCGCCTCTCCGTTGAAATGTTTACGGTAAACTGTCTTATACCATTCGACACACTGTATATTCCTGTAACAAAAAAGTTTACTGTAAAAGCCATTGGGGGCCGTTTATTAAATACTAGCTTTTCCCCGCGGCTTTGCTCGCAGACATTAATATTGTTTCTCCATAAAACCTTTTAACTCCCAGTTCACCCTTACAACGTTTTAATTTTATGTAATGTCGCCATCTTAGATTTCAAATACAAATGAAGCAACAACATGTCATCTTTAAGGGTTGATTTTTAAAAATTGTCAAAACACGTATTTGCTTAATTTCAACATTGAGCAACCTTCCAGTAAACCCGCGTACAAATAAAATATACCCCATGGAAATGTACGCATATATACCAAGTTTCAAGTAAATTCAACCACAGATAAAGTATGTCCCAAACAAAAACTGCAACACCTTTTTACCCCCACCCCCCGTTTTTGGAGGTTGAATTTTTTAAAATGTCGAGATAGGTCTTCCAGAAATTAAATGAGAGACCATTAAGACCAAGTTTCAAGTAAATCTGACGACAAATAATACATGTTCCATTTAAACATTGCAACTAACCACTCCTCCCCCCACGGGAACGGGATAAAAAGTATTCTATGTCCGTCTTCTCGTTGTCAGCTACATCCCCACCAATTTTCAGCCAAATCAGTTCAGCCGTTTTTGAGTTATAGTGTAACTAACACGACTTTTCTTTTATACATATAAGATGTAACTCAGAAGTCACAATTTCGGTGACCCCTTTAACAAATATTAAATCACAAAAGCTAGTTCACCCCCTTCCTATAAACAACTTGTTGTGAGTTGTGATTAAACATGCAAATTTTAAGAACTGTCAAATTAAGAAACAAATTTAAAAACAATTGATGTACTGCGAACGTCATATTTCCTTAGAACCCCCTTCCCCGCCCTTGTCTATCTCGAAAAGCTAAGCAATCCCTTTCCCCTTTATTTAAAAGGCCCCTTGCCTCTTTTACATTTTTCTAGTTTCGCTTTTCAGCGCGAGGGACCATCCTTCCCTTCAGTGTTGGGCCACCTTCTTCGCAGTTCATCTCCCCAACCTCCCTCCCTCACCTCTTTACCTATCTTCCACTCAACCCTCTCCCCTTCCCGAAACTTCTCCCATTTTCTCCCGGTAGTTATAGCCGCCAGGCTGATCTACCGACTCGAGGAGGGTTTTTAGTCGGTAGGCGCTCCCATCGGGAGTGAATCCGACACTACCCCCCCTTTTCGGGGGGTGTCTTTAGAAGATTTCCCCTCCTCGAGGTTAAACTTAAAGAAAAAAAATCTTTTACATTTATAGCAAGGCGGGCATTAGACAAATAATAACAGACTCTTGCCAGAATAAGACACTGGCAACACGGCGATTAAATCAAACTGTTATGTCCATTGTGATGAAATTTATTGACGTTATTTAAAAGCAAGGTGAAGTTAAGTTGAGTCTTCACCTAGCGCTCAGATGGAAAAAACAAACAAGAAAGAGAATGTTGTGAAGTTTTAAAACAACAGACTGCTTATACTCCGAACACCTACCAGACAGTACACGGTTTATTTCTGGATACGAAGGGAGTATGAGTAGGTACCTAAGAGAAAGAGTGCTAATAAGCAGACTAATTACCGCGCAAACAAACCGAGGTCGATGTACCTTTCTTAAAACCGAAGAAATACCATTGGTACAGAGAGGAGGGAACGTGTCATGTACAAATAAGAAAAATTCCTTCACGTCATTACTTAGGTACTAACGACAAACGACAAAAAAGTACCTATTATACGATATTACACCTTTGGAATGTTGTTTTCCTATTGTCAGGTATACTGTAATATTAAACCAAATCTATTACCTATGTAAATTGTATCGTATTTTTTTCTACTGATACGCACAAACCACATTGTGAAAATATCCCAACTTTCCAATTATTCGTGTTATTAAACATAATGCTTAAATATTTTTACTAGCATTAATAAAACGTTTTCTTTAATAATTTATTCAATTAATTAGTTAATTACCTTTTGCGTTTGCAATACGATTTTTAATGTAATTTTCATGGGTATTAAGTCCTACAACAATGCTACAAGACTTAAGATTCAGATAAAGTCATAATAAAAGACCAAACGTCTCTCAATTGACCACAGACGACACACAGCTTACCTATCAGACACAGTGATGAGTTATTTACTTATTTCCCTAATCACAATCAGTTATTATGGATAATCACTAAATACTTCTGGATAAGAAGATTCTGGATCAAGTTAAGTGAAAACAATCTAAGTAATGTATTCAAGGCAAGCTTTCTGTGCTTAAATTTTTCTTTTGTGAAAGCTTTTAGACTTTATTAACTTATACTTCGGCTACTTTATTTTAGTAAAGGTAGCTTTTTAGTTGGGTTTACAGATTATCCAGTCTCGTATATAGTTAAGCATAAATCCTCAGCTTTTTAAAAGCGAAATTATGTTCCCAAATCCTATTGTCTTACAAAACCTTTTTAAAAGGATCCTTTGCAAGTTTACCGGTACTTCTGTTCTGTAAGTGGCTAAGGTAATATTTCTTTCGTTCGTTGTGACCTACCTGAAGTGTATATCGGCGTGTGGCCTTCGTAGAGTTTCAAGAACGCTCTACATCCGCCATACTGAAAGGAAGGAGCTCCAAGAACGGTGACGTGAGTGAGGTAGAGAGGTGCCGTGTTGATTTTAATGTTGTGGGACAGTAACCCGGCAAAATACTCCACATACCTGCAAATATTGACTTTTAAATTCCGTACGAAGAAGAAACATATACCGTCGATTGGCTGGTGCGTATGTTACCTTTTGTTTGACGGAAGATGGAATGGACCTATGTTCTCTTCCAAGTACTTTCTCATGGCAAATCTGTCTAGTGCTTGGTCAGCGGTTCCACATATATTAGAGTAGTGCATGTACGAAGTTACCACGACACCCAGTTTATCTTTGCTTCCACTGGAAAGAAATATTTTGATAGTATTTTCTACGGAAATTCTATAATTAAAGGTATTAGCTTCTCTTCTAATTATTTGGTAAATATTGTAGATAACTCGATGAGGAAATATAAATAACGTATTCATTTCTTATGCAGTTCAATTACAAAAATGCCCCTCATAAATATAACTGGTCACAATTAATCTTCTATCTTATCATGGTTTCTTTAAATATTCAAACTATCTTATTTCAAAAAAAAAATAAGTTTCTTTCATGTTTCTGTAACTTATTTCAAATATGCTATTTAAACTACCTACCCTTTATTTTTAACATTTAACAACGTAACTATAAATGATTTATAAAACTTAAAAATTTATGCATTTTTTAAAATTACTGTTACTGTTTTCAACAAAATTAAGTCATTACAATTGATAGTTTTTATTGCGCGGATACATACAATATAATAGAAAGTGAGCTACAAAAAGTACAAGTAAAAAAGGACATAGAAATTCTGTACTTTCTTAAAACGCTCTCTAATGTATTACACAGCCCTTATAATGACCTTACTATACGTAATAAATGTGAGCGAGGTCTAACACTCCCTAGTCATCCCCGAATAGGGAAGAAATTGCGGCGCCTTTGTTAGTGAAAGATATGTGTATATTTCACGAACATTTTTTACTCTCGGGGTCTCGGAGATACTTATTGGTTTATCGACCAGTTTACTGCACCTGCATGATTTTTGTACATATACGTTATGTGTATATTTCACGTACATTTTGTACTCTCAGGGTTTCGGAGATACTTATTGATTTACAGACCACTTTACTGCACCTGCATGATTTTTGTACATGTACGTTATGTGTATATTTCACGTACATTTTTTTACTCTCAGGGTCTCGGAAATACTTATTAGTACATCGGCCAATTTACTACACCTACATGATTTTTGTACGTGTATGTTACGAGTATATTTCACATACATTTATTCTAGAGATTCTCTGAGATATCTACTAGTTTCTGAAGATATTGATACTGTTAACACATTCTTTACCGCATATTCTAAGTTTAGTTTTTCTCATTATTTTGCAATTCATTACTATTTGTTGGGGGCATTTACCATCGATCCTGAACAGGACAAATCATAGAAAATTCGTCATCATCCACGAAGTGGGAAATGTTTATATAAAATTGTCCAGTAAAAAATTGCCGAAACATTAATTGCAGATTGGGATGATACATCACATTCGTTTGAATGAAATAGGGTTCCTTGAAATCGACAGCACGTGGTCGAATCTTTGCCGGAAATAAATCATTTCCGTTCTTTACAAATTCGTGATTGAAGTTAATAGGAATTCTGCAGAGTACGTGCTGCTAATTTTATGGCCATCTATATACAAAGTTACATATCCAATAGGTGCAGACAATCATACACATACATATACAATATGATAGCCCATAGTACGACGCTAGTGTGATGTAAAAATAAGATGGAGATAACCCAGCTTGTAAGGAGGACTTTTATACATTATAAAAATGATAAATCTTCAATGCTTTGAGGATATATTCAATTTAGTAGAAAATTTTAGAGTGTGATACAAGTTTTTGTATTTCGTAAATGCTGACAGTAAAACCATACAATATTCTTTCGTAATAAAAACACATATTTATTCTCATAACTTACCGCGCATGTAGAACTGCAATTCTGTGCTTATCTCCGGATAGCCAGGACTCTATTTCCTTACAAATACTGCAAATTCTTTCCAAGGGAGGCGCCAATTTAGCTGGCCATCCCATTTCCTTAACATGCTTATGTTCACTACGCAAAATACGCTTTGGCTCCGACAAATTAAAAACCTGAAACAAAATTAGAAATGAATATCAAATCATTAGAGCAGTGCAGAAACATCTAAATACAAACCAACATAGACTAAAGAATTTACTTGTATTTTAAAATGGTATGCTTGTATACTTCTATGTCTACAGTTGATATCGATTATACTGTTCTACAGCAAGTGCCTTCTTTATTTGAAACGAAGACAATAATAACACTGACATCAAAAATAATCACGAGAGCTCAATCCTGGAAAAAATTAACAAAAAAGCTCCGAAACAATAGAAAATCAAAGCTTTGTAGTGAGACATCTCTTTGTTAGGTCGACCTTTATGTTTCCTTTTTATTTATTAAAGATACTTTCCTTCAATTTGGAAAATGCCATTTTTCTCGACCTGATGAATAATTCAACGATGCCGGCTTAGTAATTCAATTGGACATTAATGGTACCGCTGTTGATCATTACTTTATAAAATCTTATACAATGAATCCATCTTAAGGACTTTCTGTGCTTTAAGAATTTGTATTAACAAGAACGTTTTTTTCCTTGTTGAACGTTGTTTTTAACACAAGAAATACTTCAGTAGCAGCAAATACCCACTAGACGGCGCTACACTGATTGTACCTGGATATTTTTATTAATATCTATCTGTTGTTGTGCAAGGCTCTTTGAAGATGCTTTCACATCTTTTATTTGGCGAATTCGGCTGGGTACTGCATTACAATACATGTTCTAATTAATATGCTTTGCAATTGCAAGTTGCTAATTATAAATCACAACTTTTAACTTAACTCTTAACACAGCTTCCAAAGAGTCAGAAGAGTATTTCACAATTTTCCTGATGTAATAAATAATTCTACAATATTGTTACATGCAATTCTTCATAGAAATTAAGTCAGAGAATTAAATAACACAACCAGGTATGATGTCATGGACAAACCATTGTTTATACTAACAAGAATAGATTACAGGAATACCTCGTAAATTTAATGTGAAAGACCTCGAAATGTACAGAACACGAAGAAGAATTTTCAATTAATAAAATACGTGACACCTAGGGTAAATAGCTTTAATGAATCTTCTCATCCTCAATATCCTCTTGGAGTAAGTGAATTGGGGTTAAATCAATAAATAGGTGAAGGAGAAACGACACTCCGTCCAAAATTTATGGCTTTATTATGTAACCTCACAAACTTTGTCTCATTTCACAAAACTGTTTGGATTATTGATAAAGGTTCACGTCGTGTTCAAAATTAATTCGGTATGCAAAAGGGTAATCCCTTGATAATACGAAAATACGCATTATAATGAGAAACACATAGTGGGATTATCCTTTACAAATACAAAATATAACTTGCAAAAAGTCGCTACACAAATAGGTTACAAGCTCAAAAATAATTGTCTACATAGTGAAATAACGCGGAAAAATCTTAAACAGACATTTCCAAAAATTCTCTACATAAAAATACAATCTTTCGGAAAACTGTATTCCTAATGTTTTACAGCTGTGCTATCGTACTTGTAACTTGTAAAAAATATAACATCAGTAAGTTAAGAGGGAAAACATTAATCTTTTTTTAAATTATTTTTTTGGATATGTAGCCAGATTTTCTTTGGCATGAACGAGGAGTGGGGCACACAATTGTAAATTTTAATTTCCATACAACCCAAGGAATTGAAATTGTCTAGACTAAGTACTTGTTTATCAAGACAAACGTAATAGATACTTTTACTTCATTAAACAAAAACGCCGTATGATTTTGAATTATTAAAAAAAAAATTGGGTTATGTGAAGTTAAATGCTTGCCGTATTAAATTTTACGTTAATTTTACGTCAAGTTAAACTGCCAGATAGGTCAGAACTTTCAATGTATCGTGATCCTTAATTTACTCGGATCTATTTCAGGAAGTGCATCAAAATTTTCATCTCTTCATTATGCTAAAACGCCGTTTACTGTGAACAAATTAAACTTTCTTTTACAGAAACGAATGTTCTTTACCCCTAAAAATCTATGCCACGTTTGCTGTTGCGCCATTGCTATAAATCCCCGATATACCATATATTTGGTACCTTCCCAGTTGTATTGGGTGTAAGTATTCCTAAATGAACTTTTCGTAGTTCCTGTTATCTGCAGTCACTTAAAAGTGTCTTACTCTTTATAAGAAATCGCGGATGATGCAACAATTAAATGAGAAATTAACAGAAAAATATGGTGTTGCAAAATTCACATTTTGGGCAGCTGAAGAAGAGATACATACCTATGTAGGACCCGGTAAAAGAAAAACATTAAAGATTGAAGTTTCCCAAAATGGAAAAGTGTTTAAAAAAGTGGCCAAATATTTGAGTTAAAAACCGACTTAATTCAGTGACGGTGAGCTACAACGCTTTAAATCTGAACTATCATTTAATGAGTACGTATTAGTGTTTTATAATTTTCATTAGTATAAACCGTCCAAATTTGGTGATGGGTGCCCTTGTAGATGGAACTAGAACCTCTGCGAATGAGTTAAAAACGCAGTTGCGGATATTCGTTTCTTACTTTCATAAGTGTGTATGGAAAAGCTCGCATACCTTACATGTGTATTACATACAACACTTCGTTATAAAAATGGTTTATTCTACGAAAAACTAAAGGAAGTCGGGTGAAGTCCGGCATAACACGTGAGCATATTCCAACAAAACAGCGTTAATTAAAAACAAGTCGTTGGTTTCGAAGAATCCGTAAAGTAATATCACAAGTAAAACAAGACAAGAGCGCAGCGCAATATAAGACTGATTTGTAAGCAACATTTTACAACAACTTGAGTGTGTAAGTACATAATATTTAAATTTCTATGGGAAGTCGAGTGAACCCAGGCATGACCTCTTGCACACGTATTAAATATACCTTCGCAAATACACCATATCTTTATGTATATATCAGGTAAACTTATCTCGTCTATAGAGTATCTACTAGTTTTCAACGGCAGCATCGGAGACCAATCAACAGATCTTCAAGCGGATTGTGTGGAAGCAGTACATCATCAAGAGATTGATCAAATAAAATTTAATTGCACGTTCATATTTCACTTCGTATAAGTCTAAATGTGTTTATGTACCAGTATAAGGTAGTAGTTATAGACATAGGAACTTGAACATGCATGGGTAAATAGGAGCAGTTGAGCGAAAAACTAACCATTTAGCTGCATACCTACTGTGGAAGTGATTGATGCTTTATAGCAAATAATAAAACTGCACTACGTAAGTGTGCAGATTTACAAGTTACTTGAAAGTACACGTGCAGTATTCGCTAATAGCCTTTAAGACAACAACTCTACAATATAATTTGAGAAAATATCTAAAGGTTCGTTTAGACCATAAACATGCAATTGGTTACTTCCTCAAATAAAACAAAACGCTTAAAAGTAGTAAACTAAGCCCTTTACATAGTTTTCAGGGTTGAGATGATTTAAATGAGGTGTATGTTTGAAGCGCAGCGTTGTATGGGTGCGAAACATGGATGGTGAGTGCGGCGGGTAAGAAAAGGTTAGAAGCCTTCGAAATGTGGTGTTATAGGCGAATGAAGAGGATAACGTGGGTAGAAAAGGTTAGAAACGAAGAGGTATTAGAAAGAATAGGAGAACAGAGGACTCTATCGAAGTCTCAGGCATGAACGTCTGGACAAATTAGAGGCAGAAATAGGAGTTACAGGAGTAAAGGTAGATCTAGATTAGATGACTGTTCTAGTTTTAGGGAAATGCGAAGTTTAGCTCAGGATAGGAAAGAGTGGAGGTACGTGTCCAACCAGACTTAGGACTGACGACCTAATGATGATGATGATTAAAATCATCTGATTTTTTTGAAATAAAATCATGATTAATTTAAGAAAATGAACTTATTTGGACACTTAAAAATGTATTTATTCATAAAAAGAAGTAAAACCTAGAAATAACATCAGTTACGACTCAGCACCTGCCCAGTCACCACTGAAGATGCCGTCAGCAAAGAACGGCGAAACGTCTGGAAAAGCAAGATTCCACGGACCACGACCAAATATCCCGGAAGAAAACACAGCATCGATAGACGCCGGCCGTGAAAACTTAAGAAATATTTTTATGTTAATATTTATTGTTTATTGTAATAATTTAAGAAGATTTAACTATTTTTTTTTTACAAAAACAGAACTTTAAAAAGAATAATACAAAAACAGAACTGTAGGTACCTAAATAAAAACTAAATATTGTTTAATTTTTATAATACCCAAGTAGTTTCTTATATCTGAATGTACGAGTCAGTACACTATAAAGCGTTAGAGTTGTTAGAAAATAGGAAATCCTAATATTATAAATGTCAATAAGTTTGTTCACACTTTCACGCCCTAACTACTCAATCGATCATCATCAAATTTTGAACATTCATTTTCAGGGTTACAGAAAATGACACGGGGTACCTTTTATCTCGAAAGATACGCTGTTCCTGACAGACAGAAAAATTATTTTTATATAATCGTCGATGATTTTTGACATATATTTAGAACATCAACGCGAGTGAAGTCGCGGGAAAAATCTATCATGAAATTTTGTACACACATTTTCAGGGGTACAGAAAAGGACACAGGGTACCTTTTATCGAGAAATATATACTGTTTCTGAGGGATTGAAACTTATTTTATATGGTCGTCGACGCTTTTTGACACATGTTTAGAAAATACCACAAATGGCTCCAACAAGGTCCATTTAAATATATGGATATCTACTTGCTGAAACGAATCCCGGCGTAGCTAACCTCAAAGTGATAGGCACGTTACCACAATCGAATAGAATAATTCGAAGTGGTCTGTATTCTGTCGAAACTGTTAGACGCGGATCGCGATTTCGATCTTTTTGGATCTCATCAGCGCGTCGCAGACAGCTCCGAATGAACACAGACCAACTTTTAAACTACCGCCATTTGTGGTATTTTTTAAAACGCACTGTTAAGACAGCAGGTAAAAGTTGGTCTGTGTTCTTTCGGAGCTGTCTGCGACGCGCTGATGAGATCCA